CTCTTTGGAGCATTTGAGTGGTTTAATGACTGGTAATGACTAATTAATTAATAAGCACTGGTAGTAATGAAGGCCAGATTTTCATTTTCCATTAAAAGGTGTAGCTGGACTTATTCTGAGGTGATTTACACCAAGTTCCTGACTCAGCACATCCACATCACCCATCCTTTGTGTGATTTATAGCAGCTTTTAAAGCAAGAACTGGATGGCTTTGATCCAGTTGCTTTCTCTGAGTCCAACAGGATAAGTAAGCAGGCACCAGACCAGGTCTTTGAAGAGCAAAAGGTGGTTGTTTTAATTTTTGATTTTTTTTCTTGCCTCAATGTGCTGTGCACTTTCTGTGTGCATCGAGAAATGGATTTCAGGCTGTGCCAAGTGTGGCTTTGGCCCTGGATAGATTTTATCCTGATACTGCATTCAGTGCTGTTCTGTCAGCTTTTCTGCCATGGGAGTGTGAGACCAGGCACAGCAGCTGGGGAGTGTTATTTGTTTTCTGATACTTTCCCTGGGGTTTCCTGTTCTTGTTGGTTTTCTGATTTATTTTCCTGTTGTTTTTTTTTGTTTGGTTGTTTTTTTTTTCCTTTTGGATGAGGTTACTTCTGTTGATGTATAGTCTAGATCTGTCCTAGTCTAGTTTGAAAGCTGGTAAATGAGTAAAGCTGGGCTTTGGGATTGGCAGTGAGATGAGGGCAAGTGTATTCCCACATAGGTTCCTTGGGGCAGGGGGTGTCTGTGTGGGGCAGTTTAGACAAATTTGATGCTCTAAAAATGTGAGATTTAAGCATTTCTATTTGTTGGAAAGGCTGCCTAAACAGCAAAAAGCTGAGGGATAGTTAAGGATGAAAGGACAGGCTGGAAGACCTGGGGTTGTTTAGTCTGGAGAAGGGAAGGCTCCAGGGAGAGCTCAGAGCCCTTTCCAGTGCCCGAAGGAGCTCCAAGAGAGCTGGAGAGGGACTTCGGATAAGGGCTGGAGTGACAGGACACAGGGAATGGCTTTAAACTGCCAGAGGGCAGGGTGAGATGGGATGTCGGGAAGGAATTCTTACCTGTGAGAGCAGACAGGTGCTGACACAAGTTTTCCAGAGAAATTGTGGGTGGCCCATCCATGGAAATGTCCAAGGCCAGGTTGGGTGGGACATTGAGCATCTGGTCTAGTGGAGGGTGTCCCTGCCCATGGCAGGAGGTTGGAAAAAGATGATCTTTAAGGTCCCTTCCAAAACCATTCTATGATTCCAAAACTCTATCATTAGGAGCCTTTTAAAAAGCAGTTTTCTAGATATCCTCAAACCCATAAATGAAAAAGAGCACTAAAATACCCTCAGCTAACAAAAAAAAACCCAGAAAACCAACAAAACACCACAAGCTAAATGCACCAATCTCTTAGAAAAAAAAAAAAAAAGTCTGTTATAGAGGGAAAGTAAAAGCTGCTGTGGAAATCTGGACAAAGGATAAATTGACGGCAAGCAATGCAAATTAAAAGCTTGAAAAATACAAGATTAAAAAAAAATAAAAAAGGAAAAGTGTAGGAATTTTTTGCTTCAGACCAGCAAAGATGAATAAAAAGCAAAATTCAGAGTCTACTAGACCCATAATAAATCCTGATGGTATTGGTTTGTTACTAGCTCAAAATGACAGATTTATTTATAATAATGCAGGAATTTCAATAAACGCCTGTATTCTGTAATTGGAAGAGAGCCTGGTTCCTTAATCCACATCTCAGCCTAATGAAATATTTTTCATTACCCCAGCAGCTGGAAAACCTGCTATACATCATCCAACAAAGTGAGATGTGAGCAAGAGTAACAAGACAGAGCAATTTGGAACGCGAAGGTTTTAAAAGAGCAGGTTAAGACTAATTTGGCATCATTGCTCTTTAGGAAAAGTGGAAAAGTTCCCCAAATCTGGGGAGAGGAGCATGTGTGTGTAAGCACAGCAGCCTCACATCTGTCTTAGGCACAGTATCCATCTGAAATGGGATCCAAAAATTGTGGGTAATATTATGATTATAATTGAATAATAGCACGCTCATTAAAACAGAGGCATTAATAGCAATCAACTTATGGAAAATAGATTTTGTCAAGCTAAATTAATACTTTCTAGGAGAATGCAGAACTCATTGTTGGAGTCTGGGAATTTGTCATTATTTGTACACATCATAAATAAGGCATTTTTCTCGGTGACAGTGGATAAACAGAACAACTCAATAATGCAGATCTTGGAAATACGAGCAGGATGTGGAGGGGAGAATACAGAATTCAAATTTCCCATGAGACTGGCCTTGGATCTCTTGGTTCCTTCCAAAAAGGGTGTTGGGGGATGTCAGAAGGTGCATGAAAGAGAGCAAAGAACAATGCCAGGGTCTGAAAGTCTCTGAGAAATGATGTGACAGCTCAGAGAAAAACATGTGAAGAGCTGCTGATCCAGAGAAGACAGATTTATGTCCCGTGAGATGGATGGACAGAGAACCACGGGATCACAGAATGGTTTGGATTAGAAGGGACCTTAAAGATTATTTAGTGCCAACCTCCTGCCATGGGCAGGGACACCTTCCACTAGACCAGATTGCTCCAAACCCCATCCAGCCTGGCCTTGGACACTCCCAGGGATGGGACATTCAGACATTTAGTAGGGTCCAGACATTTAAAAATGGGGATGAACAGAAAAAAAAAAAAAAAAATCACAGTTCTGTGTATTACCTACAATCTTCTACAGTAAAATTAATTTAGGTTTTTTTATGATTTTTTTTTTTTAAACTATGAACAGTGCTCTAACCCAAGCCAGAAATAATTCAGAGAGGCTCAGTGTCACATGCTGAACAGGATCTGAGTGGACAGAGAGCAGGACGTGCTGGTGCTCTGTCACCCAGGCCACGGTGGCACAGGGACGTGGAGGGAGGCTCGGAGTCTGTGTGAGGAGCAGGTCAGAGCCTGCACCGTGTCGAGACCTGCAAAGAACTTGTCTGTGACTCAGGGCAGGTCTCTGGAGCCAGCAGCACAGAGCTGCCCAGGCCATCTGTGGTGCACCCAAGGCTGCTGAGCAGCTTGGCTCCATCTGGAGCTGCCATGGGCTCGCTGCTGGCCTTGCTGCCAGATCCCCTCCTCTGAGGATGGTCAGCTGGGGACATGGGACATCTTTCCCCATGTCTCTTCAGTGGAGGCAGATGGCCCTTTTGCTGTGCCTCCACGTCCTGTCTCAGGCTCCTGTGAAGCCCAGGTTATGCACAGGGATGCTGACCTTCTCTCCATCTACTGAATTTCTGCACCTGCTCTCCTCATCTTCTCTTCCCTTAGCGACCATATCCCAGGAGATAGGACTGGAAAAGACACAGAGGCAATGGGTGGAAAATGACAGCAGTTTTTGGGTCCCCACTGTCCCAGCACATGAGGTGGAGCAGCAGATTCCTGTTTTCCCTGGCTTAGCCCCTTGTACTCGTACAGAGATGGGGCTGCAGTCATTTTTCCCCATGGAACCACTCCACCTGTGGGATGGAAACCATGGAGACTTTTCCATCTATGGCCCCTTCCCCATTCTGCTGCTTTTCCCCGGGCAGAAAGGATGCCAGGAGAAAGCAGGGATCTGTCCCTTTGATGTCTTCAGGTCCCTCTGGCCGTGAGGGAGGAACATCCCTGCCGTGCCCAGAGCTCTGGGAATGTGGGGAAGGGCTCAGGAGGGTCCTGGCCTGGCCTTTGGAGAAGGAGCAAGGCGGGGGTGAAGCTGTGATTGGGGTTCCCATGCCTGGGGGAGGTTTATACACATCCACATGGGGTGTGGAGCAGGGGGCTGGGGGTGTATGGGGTGAGAGATAGAGCTGTGGGGGACTCAGGTGTGTTTTAGGTCTATAGAGTTACATCCATAAATGGGATTTGTGGGACAGGGCTGTAGGGATGGGGAGGTGTGTTCAGGTTGTGTAGAGACAGGGCTGTAGGATGATTTATCCATGTGTCCCACATGTGGATCAATATGGTGGGTGTCACGGGGCTTTAGGGTTGTGCATGCACATGTTGGGGTGGAAGTTGTGCATAGGTAGATGGAATGAATGAGGCAGAGCTGTGGGGTTAAGGGTGTGCATATGGAACAAGTGGGACAGGGACGCTTAAAGAAATGTGTATGGCACATGTGGGACTGGGCTATGTGCTAAGAAATTGTGTATGGGATATGTGGGAAAGGGATATAGGGTTAAGAAGGTGTATATGGGGTATGTGGGGTGGGGTCGTAGGGTTAAGGTCCATGTGGGATAAGTAGGACAGGGCTATAGGGTTAGAGGGTGTATATGGGATACGTGGGACAAGGCTATAGGGTTAATATGGGATATGTGGGGCAGGGCTATAGGGTTAGAGGGTGTATATGGATATGTGGGACAAGGCTATAGGGTTAGAGGGTGTATATGGGATATGTGGGGCAGAGATATAGGGTTAGGGAAGTGCATATGGGATATGTGGGGCAGAGATATAGGGTTAGGGAGGTGCATATGGGATATGTGGGGCAGGTCTATAGGGTTAGGGAAGTGCATATGGGATATGTGGGGCAGAGATATAGGGTTAGGGAGGTGCATATGGGATATTTGGGGCAGGTCTATAGGGTTAGGGAGGTGCATATGGGATATTTGGGGCAGGGATATAAGGTTATGCATCCATGGGGTGGCTGTGTGGGATGACGCTGTGCAGTTACGCGTGTACACGTGGGATAGGTGCGCGATAGGGTATGGAGGGTGCATATGGGAAATGTGGGACTGGGCTATAGGGTTAGGGCGATCGGGCAGCCCGGGGGCTGCAGGGGACCCTTCAGACGTGTGGGGTTGATGGAGAGGTCACAGCGGGGCGGGGGAGCCGCGGACGGACCAGCAGCAGGACCGGGATGGAGCCGCAGGTCCGCTGGGAGGGTTGGTGGGATGGGGGCGGCGAGGGGGGCGCGATGCCCGCTCGCCGCCCGCCCTGACGGCCGCTCTCCCTCTCTCCCCGCTCCGCCGCCCCGTCCCTCCCTCCCTGCTCTCCTCCCTCCAGCAGAGCCTCCGCCTCCGCCTCTCCGCCCGGCGCCTGGTCCTGGCGCGGCTGCCGAACGGTCCCGCTCGACGCCTCCCGGACCAAGTGCCTGTGTGACCGGCTCTCCGCCTTCGCCATCTTAGCCCAGCTCAGCCCCGACATGGTGAGTCCCGCCGGCGGCACCGCGGAGGGAGGAGCGGAGGGGCCGGGGAGGCGTGGGGACACGCGGGGGACAGGGCGGAATGAGCGGCGGCCAAGGGGACGCGCCCGGGATGCAGCGGAGCATCCCCGGTGCGCGGCTCCCGGGTACCGCGGCGGGGACAGCTCCGAGCGCCGCCGCCGCCGCTGCTGCAGTCCGGTGTCACCGGGACCGTGGCGACACAGCGTGAGGCTTTGCATAACCCTCCCCCTTCCTTCCCCGCCGTCCTTCCTCTCCCCTTCCCCCCGACCCTGAGCGCAGCCTTGGGGACGCGCACGCACGGACATCGGCGGTGCTGCCGCGCCGCTCCCCGCGTCCTCCCCATCCATCCTTCCATCCCTGCGCTCTGCCTCGGGACGTGAATCCCGCTCAATGTGGGGAGCCACCGGCCCCCGCAGGCGTCTTCACTCCCGTGGGCTCCCCACGCACGGGATCTTCGCACGTGGCTTTTTTTGGGGGGCGGAATCGCCCCGCTCCGCCTCCCTCCCCACCTGTCTCCATCCCCGCCTCGGCGTCCTTCCCGCTTCCCCACGCACTTTTTGGGGCGTGTGTGGCGGGGTTCCCACTCTGGAATCGGGGAGCGTTGTGAAGGAGGGGAGGAGTTGTGAAAAAAAAAAAAAAAAAAAAAAACACGAAGTAAAAAAAAAAAAAAAAAAAAAACCTCCGGGAAAAAAAAAAAAAAAAAAAAAA